AAACGAAAAATAGATTTATACAATACCTGCTAAAATGTGTTCTGTAGACATTTCTTATTCATCACATATTGACTTATTTTAGTGATTAACATGGCCACTTTATAATATATTTTATTCCATTATATTTAGTAAACATAGACACATTTGTATCAGCCGCCTCACTGCAGTGGTACGTGTACGTTCCACTTACCTACTACAAACTGAACACACTGATGCTCATGTCACCGTACTGTACAAACGAAATTTGAATAATGAATTCTCACGTGTGTTGCTTTTGTAGCGTGACAAGTCCTTGTCCAATATTTTGTAGACTGTTATTGTAAAATTGTTTTTTGATGAGAGAAAACGTGGTATAGAAAAAATGAAATGGTCCCTAATAGAGTTTGGGTTTGGATTTTCAGCTGGGATGATAAAACAGCGGCCCTATCCTGTAACCTATGGTTGTTCAAGGAAGGAGGTACTATTCAGAGCCTCCTCATTTGGCGCATATCTCAAATTTATTTTTGACAATAAATTTGACTTACTGTTTAAATCACCATCAATTTGAAATAGCATGGAGGAGAAGAATTTTAATTTATACCGTGAAGTAATATATTTCAGCCATCAAGCAGTGATGGAAGGCATGAATGCATTAATGAAAATGCTCATTAAGACATAGGTGATGCATAACATATGCATTCTTAATAATTATCTTAAACTTATTAATGATATGTCCTAAGGACAGAATGCATTTTTTCAATTAGGAAATAGGAATATTTAGGTTCCATAATCACCCTCGGTTGCAGATCTGTAGTTACATAGATATTGGGCTTTATTGGGTCGAATAAGTTGGGCACGCCTGTGGACTTCTTATAAAAAATGATGGAATGTATCTCCGGCATTTACAGGTCAAAATATTCTGTTCCACTACAAAAATAGCAAAGCGTATGACAAAGAATTAGTAAAATGAAATGAATGATAGAATATCTAAAGTATGCCTCGAGTAATGGAAATCAAGATTATAGAATTTGTTTACATCCTTGCATTTATCTGCAGCTGAACTAGATCAAATTTCCAAGTAGTGTATTGTGATTGGCTACTTGGTCTTACCTAATCACTTAATCTTAAATGCTGCCCTCTGTAGTTGTAATCTAAGTAAAGTTTGATAATATAATTCCATGTATCTAAAGTAGTCCACTGATTATATTTGGATAAATATCATGATGCATACTCCGAAAATATTAAAAGGAGTATTACTGATTCATAGAAGCCACATCGGATCAGTTGATTGATATGGCTTCTCTTATTCTTCTTAGAGCATGCATGATAATATATAATCAGTGCACTACTTGGTACAATTTTGAACTAGAGGAAGTGGTAATTAGAGAGTAAAAGTCAGAAACGAGAATGCACTGGCAGAACACGGTACCTCTGGTGCCAAAGCCCAATCTCTTACCACCGTGCTAAATCACCCTTAAATCGCAACATTACACAAAACACAACATCAAATATGACCCATGAAAGAACAAAGTAAACTGTTCAAAAAGGCAAGAGATTGTCTCTCGGTATATTGTCCAGTTCTTCACAACAATTTGTACAACAAATAAAAAAATAAGTACAAAATGTAAATACACAAATTGTTTTGGTCCAATTTTAACCTTATAAAATTCGATAAAATTATTCATTTCTAAAGTTAGGCCTTCTTTGAAAAAGTGTATTTATTGTACTGATGCAGGTATAATCCCACCCAATAATTTGAAGATTTGAGTTCAGTATTAAATTTTTTTGTAACGAAATACATCGTCTTCCAAGGACCTAAAAATCCTTGGAATTTACCAGTTCACAATTCAAAATGCATTGTAAATCAGAGGCACTGACTATATGGCCGACCAAGTAACAGCTTTTTCTCTGCTCTTTGCTGTGCGCGACCACAGCATACGTCGTCTTTGCCGGCCGTGTCCAACTACAGCGCACGCCCACTATTTACACCTCATCTTGGTCTCATGGTCTCATTTTGCCTTTGTGTGGCGAGCTGATACTGGTCTTCTGATGCAATAATGATATTTTTTTTTGTAACATTAGAAATCGTCTTTATGGTTTAACAATAAGAAAAATGTTGATTTCCCTATTAAAATTGTTAACCGTTCATTTGAAATTCAGTATCTAATCTTGTCTTGATAAAAAAATCTGGCTCCATGTCTACCGCAGCACGTAAACATCTAGGTCAGTCATCAACCCCACCATTATGTAGGCAACCAACTCTGTGTATACCGCACCCACACGTCTGCTTTACTTCTGTTCAGTGGTAAGCGATCTGCTTTGTGCGTACAGACTGATGATAACACTATGGAATAAGTTCATTCCCTCATAACACTGAATGTGGAATTTTATCGTGGGAGAAAATTTTACATTGGAGATTTCTACTTTCAGCCCTGATGACGGCTGCCTGTTCACTTGTTTGTGGTCTCTATTTTCGCTAATTAGACCACTAGAATTTAATCGTTGGAATAAATCAAACTTGCCTGGGAAATTTTTACTCACAACAATCATGTCTTGACGACTGCTTTAACATGCAAAAAAGACGATTAAGACACTTGTATGACAGAATATCAATACGTTTTAATTGCACTCTTCATCGTACCATAAAACCTTCATATTCTGCAAATTATGTGCTATTTTTGACGATCTACATTTTTAGATGCTCGAGTATAAACCCACCCCCACTCCCCCAAAACTTGCCGCAATACAGTATGGTAATAACGGATATCAACAAAGCCGGACACCATTGGTGGTTAAACAAGTACAACAAGTTAAACCAAAAAAAAAAAAAAAAAAAAAAAAAAAAAAAAAACAAAAAAAAAAAAAAAAAAAAAAAAAAAAAAAAAAAAAAAAAAGAACCCTGTGCACAAAATACGTAAATATCACCTGAATTTGATGAAAAGTATATAATTTCTAAAGATTTGTCCAGGTTATTAATGACAAATATCTGCCCATATATAGTCATGATGTGCCTATATATGGTAATGATGTGATGTCACCATGACCATATTTAGGCATGTCACACAAATAAATGTTAATAGTCTGGACAGGCTTAAAGTTACCATTTTATTAAAAAGTTTTTTTAATAACTAATACAACAAATCCTGAAACTATTAGTGCCTGAAGACACCTCATGACATTAAAAATGTCCTTTGGCGTCACCTCAAAGACATGATGGATGGATTTCTACAAATTTATTAAATTGCACTTTACTATAGTACTGTACATCAAATCCAAGTCGCTCCTAGATATCTTGTCTATGAACAAATCTTTATTTGATTAGTGGAAGAAAGTATTGATCTCTCAACTTCAAAAATCTACAGGATTGCAGCATACTCTTATTAACATTTCATTTTGAACTATCTTTAGGCATGTTTTGTTAATCCAACAGAAGAATGGCAGGTTATTCACACTATTATTTATCTTAGGTTTCGCAAAAATCAATGCATAGATGTCATAGGTACAGCTGTGACAGACCAAAACGCAAACAGAATTGTAAATCTGTTGGCAAATCTTCTCTTGTGAATTACAAGACCTTGATTAAGTTACAAATTAACCTTCCGTCTACTGATCATCAAGTCACTCAACAAGTTTACATTATCTTTATAGGAACAACTTTATTTAAATTTGTCAAATTATTTGTTTATCATTGTTTATTCTTTTCATTCTTTTGTTTTTGAATACTATGCTTGCAGAGAATACTCGAAGCTGTGAAAATACAGAGGTCCCAAGTCTACCGCTACTTGCAGTAGTCTACCGTTTTTAGCGGTGATCTACCACGTTACTGCAGGGGCGGCACCAGCGGGGGCAGGGGGCTTAATCCTCCATCGATCTGGTCAAGCCCCCCCTCCCATCGGCCAAAGCTTGTCGGGCAGTCGGACCAAAAATTTTTTTTAAAAATAAGCCTAGTTTTCCCATCCCAGTAATGTACTGCCTACTGTACGCCAAGCCAAATTTGTTTCAGCAATTGCTTCGTCTGGGTCTGATCAGTCAAGCAGAACATCTAAAAATCCCATTTTTAAAAAAAAATCTTGTTTTGGGAGGAGGGGACGCCCCCCCTCCCATACCCACCCGAGGCTTGGGCCTTTGGCCCTCAGATATATAGTTACACCCATAAATACTTAGCCTCCCAGTCAAGACATCTTGGTGCCCCCCCCATAGATTATATCCTAGAGCCGCCCCTGCGCTACTGTAAGCCTAAGTATTTCTACCGCATTAAAAATCCTCCCATAATTTTTATAAATTTAAATAATTAATTTTGAATATCAGCTCTAGCCAAGGCCTACAGTAGGTAAAAACATGACTCGGGATGTTAAAACCATCACTACCATCACTATTTATAGTGCATTGCAATTAATTACAGTAGCTGCCAAACACACAAAACCAAAACATACTGTTTGTTTATTAAAAAAGTCAATACGCTCACACTTGTGACACCACCTAAATCAGGGATCCCAAGTTGTGAAAGTCAAATTCCTGGAGAATTTGTTGTGCAGGACAGGCACAGCTTTTGGATGTGTGTAGTAGCTAAAATGCATGTATCAGGAAACATGTGTACACACATATCGCCATGTTCAATATAAAAACATAGAGGCTTGGGCAAGTTTAGGCCACTGTTAATAGTTTTTACTGCATAGAATAAATAATATCTGCCTTATTTAATGCACAAGAATGGGAAAATTTAGCTTAGCATAAGTCCGAATTGTGAAAATCTCTTAAAATCCTGGAGAAATCCAAGAGAAATTCAAATTCCAGGAGAAAAATAAACATTTTTAAAGTCGAGCTACTGTACGTACACCTAGAAAAGACTATGTTAAATACATTTTAAGATAACATTTTCGTTACTTTTATGTTTCTCTCAGCTACTACAGTATTATTATTATTGAATACAATATTAAACTAGAAGATGCCAGAAAAAAAGTGCAATTGATGTAATTACATAATATTGATGTATATAGTGTAAATATATGAATAATATATAATATTAAAATAGACCTAGGCCTACTGTACAGAGTATTAGATTCCAGAAAAAATGTTAATTTATGTAATTTCATGGTATTAATTTACATTGTGTAAATAAAAATGAAAGCAAGAGCAATTAAACTGTTTGATCATTGAATGTCAAGTTTTGCTGTATAGAGTAGTTGCATATTGGCTGAACGTGAGGCGTGTTGTATTTGACAGTCAGTTAAAGGTTCCCGACAAAATCTTCTGCGAATGGACTTCCTCAACTTGGGATCCCTGAAAATGAAGAATGTGTTAATGTTCATTTCAGTAAAATAGAATGTGTTAAGGTTAATTTCAGTTCATTCTATTTGACAGGCACACCAGAGTACAGTGTAAATGCAGTTTTTCAGGAAATTGGTAATTGGTCCTATGTTTTGACAGATGACCAAAGGCTGACAGCCCTTTGGTCTGATAATGAACTGTTTAGGGAAATTTTGACGCTTTAAACTTGGATGTAGTATTGTTAACAACTATATAGTAACTGCAAAACATTACTTTTCTGCAGTATACCCATTCTCCTATTGAACCTACTTTTTTTTTTGTTATGTGGAGAATGGTGCCTATGTATTTTATAAACACTTTCAAGTTCCAAACTGTAGCTCTGGTAAATAATTCATCCTTTTTCAATAATCCATGCACAAAATTTCCTTTGACTTTTATCCTGACTTCATTCCATTGCCTGTAAAGTAACCTCATATCCTAATTTCAATTGAATAAATTCCATCAATTATTTAATCTTTCAAAGATAAACCTGATGATGCGTGATCTATAAACAGTATCGTCTCAGTGGCAGCACCAGAGATTTCCCGACAGGGGGTCTGAAGTCTTGACGACAGGGGATCCAATGTCCCTGACAGGGGGTCCAACACCCCATCTACCGGTCCAAAATCCCCGCCGGACGTCTAAATACTCCTCAGCCTCACCATGCTTAGAACAAATTTTAAGAATAGACATCTGTAACTGGAAATTTCACTCTGTAAAACTGCATTTTCAAAGCAGCGTTCCCTGACAAGATACAGTAATTGGCTTCTTCTACAACAGGGGGTACACGGCTCCTGGATCGGGAAAATTTACCCTGCTGGTAACACCACTGTCTTGCCTTAGCAACTAGTGACACAAACAAAAAATGTTTACACTTTATACTGAATAAATCAATGAGCTAGTCATCCAAGGATAAACTTGATGGTGAGTGAAATGAACAAATGATGAGCACACAGTCCAAAATTCAGATTCATGGAGAAAATATATTAAATATTTCCTCCATGATTACATAGTACATGGCTAGGGAAATTTACTGGAGTATGGAGAAGCATAGAAACTTGCCATTAAATGAAATAAAAACGTTTTTGACTATCCTGCTTGATTTTAAACAAATATGCTTAACTATAGATGAAATGACTAAAAAAAAAAACCTAGAAATTTCAAACCTACCAGTCAATGTACTAATGTAGGCAACGTGATCTACGGTAACATCATATTTAATTTATTACTCTGGAATTGAAATTATTTCTAAATACATGATATTGGTCATATATATTTTCATGTACAATAATAATAATTACATAATAATAATTACTACTATTGAAGATTATTTATCTTAATTAGACTTTCTATATTAAATTCTTGTAATATCAGGAAATGTGTTTTTACAGTACAACCAAGAACAAAGCCATAAAATGACTGAAACCGAAAGGTCCATGGATTAATCTCAGATAAGAAAGTATAATACATACTCCAAGTATTGAAATACACGCCATCGTGTTGGGATTCAATATTTCGACATTAATTAATGTCACCATCAGGTTTAAGAGCATTAAGGGTTTCGTGATCAGTTTCGCATAACAAAATATCATGCTTGATACGGTGTAAAATGTTTAACATCTACACTATTGTATAGATATAATATTCATTTACATCTGATATAAGAAACATTGGAAATTTGACAGAACAGGTGGAACTTGCACTTTTTGAAGTGTATTTACTTTCCGGGGGGAAAACCCTAATGCTTGGTCCATTGATGTTTCTGCTTGGAAATTTCCCATGATGATGATAATCACACATCATTTGTATTAATTCTAACAAGAGGTGCATTCACCTCTGGAAAATTTGTATCTAGAATGTATTCAATTCATTATGAAAGACTTAAAGTGAATTCATAAGGTTGTAGCATGGTGGCTATGAGTCTGGCCATCTAATGGGTTCTGGGTTCCAGTTCTATTACAACCAAAAATAACTCACTCCCTAAGACTCAAGAGACAGTTTACATATAGTAGCATGATATACAGTAGGTATATATTTGCCTTGAGAGAAAGGAATTGCCAATACAGTGGTGGAGTTCGTTATTAGCAATCTTTGACCAATGTCTAAGAAAAGTGTGAGCTAAAAAAGGAGAGTTGAAGTAAACCCATAGCGGCAACCTTCTCATGCTCGTGATCAACAGACAATAAACCATAGGTACTTTACACAAAGTAAAATAAAAGGAAATATTCAATTGAATATCGATAATATTTGGTTAACACATTCTGTTGTCATATGATATTACCAGGGCATGCTCAGCCAAAAACAATATTAATAGTAAATAATAAGTGGGGCTGCATGGAGCATGGCACAGCATTCCAAAAAAAGCTCGCTCTCCCTGGTGACTCCGCTACCCATTGAAATTTTTGAAGCAAAAAAAAATTATGCTGAAAGAGTTAAAGATCAAATAATATAGCCAGCTAGCTTCTCACTTCATTGAGCCCTCCAACTTCACCTTTACGCCTCCTATCAGCCCCACCCCATTTCAATACTCCTAGAAACGCCACTAATAATAAAATAGTAAAGAAAATAATGATTGAAGAAAGAGGTAAGAATTACATCAATACTAATGGTAAAACTCCTTTTCTCCCACTTTAGCTCTGGTAAATGTTCTGTTGTACTTTAGGAAATTATAAGTAGATATTACTATATTTAATGGTATTTGGTAGGGCATTCCACTTGTTAATGCCTGAGAAAAAAATGTTTAATCCTGGGAACAATGAAATTTAATCACTTCCTCTGAGATTATAGTTATGGAAGTCACGAACTCAGCAACAATTTAATAGACATAATGTAAAGAGCGTTGTTGCCAACATAAATCTTACGATTATTAATCTTGGTTGACAACATCTTAGTAAAATTTCATATTTAAGAGCTTTCCATTCAAATGTATGGAAGAGGGCCAAATGAATTCAAATTAATTTATTTCTTCATTTTTGTTTTATCTCATCCAACAGCGTAAATGCCATTAACAGCATGAATATACGGTATACATTCATATTAAATTCATATTCATATTAACTTCATAATAATATAATTATTTTGTTGTGAAGATTTTCATTTCAGATGTTTGCTTTTGCCAACAAACTACAAAATAAGCTGTTGGAGTATAACCAATAGAAATTGTAGAAGAGTGGAAGAAGGGAAGAAACAATGAGTTCCAAGAGGATCTTGAGGTTGGGGAGTGAAATAGCTCGCTATGATTACGCTCATCATTTTGCTTACATTGCATTTCCTGGGGAGTGTGGGGGGGGGGGCGCATTTAACCATATCTTCCGGAAGAGACTTCTTCCAAGTAGGGACCCCTAGACTAAATACAAACATTGTTAAAAGTCAGAACATTTGATATGCGCCACGCCAATGGGAAAGAATAGCTGTGCTTCGTTAATAATAAAATACATAAATTTGTACCCTATTACCATGCACACCAATTCTTAGTAAATATCTCAGGAGTTACCAGCTTCAAAGAGGTCTCATTCGTTCATTTAATCTTCTATTTATTCGACCAATAAACATTTTTACTTCTTTTTTACCGAGATGTAGAGCGTTCATTGGTATTCTTTACAAGGATGTGCATTCTCATAACCGAAATATCGTTGCTAACGAAAAGATCATTGGTCAAATTTGTTAATATTTTGTACATTTCATTCTTGTGAATTGGGTATAAGAGAAAAATTGCAACATGTGGCCTTAGATCACATGACTAAATGAAAAAATAAATTTAATGCAGTAGAAGAAATACTTTGTCGCCTTATGCGCACTAGCGCACGAACAGGATTAAGTAACTGAATTATAAATAAGAGTAATATTGAATGTTTGGTATTAATGTTCACAAGATTCTTGATTTTGACAGTAATGGACAATATTTCGTTTGGTTTCTAATTCTGTTAAATTTGTTTAATCAAGTTGTTTCAAGGATAACTTTTTATTGCAGTTAATCTTTTGAATACAAAATTAATAAAGTGATATTTCAGATGAAGCACCACCATTATCTCATATGATAATGCACTCAAATCTATTATTTCATTTTTGAATTACACTATATTTATTACAAGAATGTAACTTTCATGTGATTTCCTATATTCATTGTGTATTATGGAATACCTTGAGAAAGAAAACCGTGTCCTAATAGGAAAATCCAAGTGTACACAACTTGGCGTCATAGCTCAGTTGGTAGAGCATCCAAACAGTAATGTGAGGGGACAAATGTTTTTATCAAATATTTATTATTATAAAATTTATTTATTGTTTTGTGCAACTTTTCTTTTTTTTATATATAGTTCTATCTTTAATAGTATTAGTTATTGGTATATATTTTTTATTAAGACCTGGAGTAATTCAAATCTTTCTTTCATGACAAAATGGTAATAAGTAGAAGCTAATATGTGTAGACTAAGACTATTGTTACACTAGTCCTATAAACAAATACCTAATTCACTGGCACTGCATCTCAGTCCTCCTTACATTTGGTGCTGATTGGGAGTAAGATACAGATTTTATGATGATATTTTCAGGCTGCAACAGACAGAGCCAACTCAAGCGGATCATTAGACCGAGTTCTTTGGCTAGGCTGCAGCCAACTTGAGCTGATCGACTGAGGGCCAGAGTAGGGGTGTGTCAAATTCTGGCTGGCGGAGTGGAAGCAATTGTGCAAACTCCCCCGATTGATGGGCTTCACACGCGAGGCCTAAGATGCTAGGCCTCGTTTGGCTGATTGAGCAGATCAACCGCGGGCCGTTATATTTTTAGTACATAAAATATGGCACAACAAGGCAAGGGTTTGTAATCTCAGATTATCTTGTTGTATGTATGTATGGGATCAGGATAACATCTAATCCAAATTAGTTTGTCACCAAAAAAAAAAAAAAAAAAAAATTGCAATCACCACAAACAGGCGTATTTCAAGAAAAATGTCTTAGTAAATTTAAATACACTAA